GATAAAGTCAACGCATACACTTCACCCTTTAGCGTTCTCATGGTGTTTTCTACTACGGCCTCATTACAACACACAGGGCGCACTGCGCTATAGGGCGCGCCGTACGTTTTGAAGAAAATCTAAGACTTTTAAGTGCGCCTTATGGTTGTGAAAATACGGTATACTTTAAACTAGCAGCTGAGAGCATCAGCTAACCAGAAGGGACTTTGCTGAGGTCATAAACAAAGTGTGCAGGAGGGACACTTTCCTGTAGATCTGGATACAACAGGAGTTGTTCATGCAGTGAAAGGAGTTGCCCCCTGCTGGACATTAAAGATAAGTTGCTTTCATTTTTCACCACAAGCTTGTAGAGATAGTGGGAGAGGCAGCCTAGTTGTGTGAAGTCTTCTCCAGGTCTATGTGGAAACGAGCTTCATGCCCTGTGAAACGTCCATTGATGGTAAAACCTGGTTGTTCAGTATATTCAGGTGTTCACATGACATAATTATTTAGGAAACTAACATTGCTGAGCCTTGATGTAAGCAACTGATAAAACTGCCTTCACTTGCTTGTATTGTTGCTGCTAGGCATGTGCTTAACTTAATTTGATGTTCTTCTCACTGTGATGTTCCTGTCACTCTAAATCCGGGTGTATCTGGGCTTATTAGACCACATGACCTGGGTTCAGTCTTTATGCTTCCTAAAAGATTTGAACCTGTTTAACAATTAGCTTTACTGATAGCTGGTTTTCTTAAGGGTACACGTGTTTAGTCCCAACACCGTGAGGCCTATTCATATTCATATGTGGAAATGCTCTTACTTTTAGTAATACAGCCGTGAGTGCTTCTGATTTATTTTTAGTCTATTTGATTTCACCAAACTGTTAAGTGATCTCTGATAACAATTTCTTTTCTAACCATGTTTCTTCCTCAAGGAAGAGCATTTGTCCTTCCAAAGTTTTAATAGTGTGTTGGAGAGCCTAAAGCTCAGTCTTCAGACTGGTCTGACTGCTCGGTTTCATTTCTTTAACTACTTGTGGTCTTGTGTGACGTCAGAGAGAGGATATCCTTAATGTGGTTCAAACCTTTTGTTTATACGGAGCAGCCAGTGAGAAGAAGTTAGTTTAAGGGAGGGGAGCTAAAACGTCAGAGGCTAAACTGATTGGAACAATAAGAATAAGGACTATTCTGAACTGTGAATTATGCAAAGCTACTCTAGTAGAGTCCAAGAATCAAAATATGGAAATGAGTAGAATCAGATCAGAACCACTTGCTTGTTGTTTTTGAAGATGATTTGCATTTGAGTAGGACTCGGAGGAAAAATGTTGTGTGATGATTGAAAACATGAAAATAAAAGATCGCTACAGCTTGATCTTTAATCCTGCCTGACCACACACCTGATAGGAAGTAAACCAAACCTTAATGAGGAGTCGGTACACTTATTGTTGCTGAGCAAACATGTCTGACACAGAAATGCGAACTTTACTTCCCACAACTCACCTCTGAGGTAACAAGGTCCTCTAATAAATCCTCCTCACAAGTGAATTAACCCAGGGACTGATATGTGTTTCGTTGCATTTAGATGAAGCCTTCCGACATGAATGACTCTCACTTTTATTATTATTTACTATGTTTTTATTTTAGTTTTACTTATTTACATGAAATAAACTCGTGCTCATCTAACACTGAGATCTGCTGCTGTTGTTTGCAGTGTGATTATACACGAATCATTGTAGTGTTGTAAAATATTGATCTTTATGTTGAAATGAAATAATCAGCTGGGGTGCCTCTCCAGGAGAGCCAGGGCGCTGAGCAGGGGGGGATTTGTCCTGGCTGATTGTGCTCCCCTCGTATGCACACTCTGTCGACTCCACACGCTCGCCAATCCAAAGCCCGTCTCAGGGGGCCGCTCTGTGTGAATTCATTAGCGGGCCCTCGACGGACGGAGACGTGTCTGCTCTTCGCTGCCACACATTCACGTTTCTCCTCGCCACTGACTGAGTTAAGATCACGCACACCTCACCAAGTGATCGGGGAAGACAGAGCTCAGTTTATCCCCGTTCTGTCTCTGCTTTTCATCATAAGGGCAAAAAACTAATTTTTTTTTTTCCTCCAGTAATCTGTTGGATGTACAGAAAAGGTCTCCTCTGCCAAGAATTCATTTCTTTACAACCGACTGGCCGCAAATGACAGTTTTCCAACTAGCAGGCTGTTCTCTAATGGCAGTTTGAATGTTCATGCTTTGTTGACACTGGTGATTTGCCTTTTTAGTATTTTTATTGTAATTTGCGGCGGTGCATGCAGATGTTAATGGGCTCTATAGCATTACAGGACTGACAGGCAATTTCGAAGGGCAAAGTTGTCGGGGTAAAAGTCAACGAAGGGAGAAACCTGTGTCCTAAAATGTTATTTTATTTCAGGCTGAATGGAAACTGAGCTTTATTTCTTCAGTTTAAAGAAGGTTGAGCTGTTTCCTGATTTTTCTACATTTCATGGCTGATGGACCCGAGTGTTCCCAGCATTGTGACAAAAAACAAACCATATGAAAGTTATCTAATGAGCACATATTGAAAAATAAATATAAGCAGAATGTTTGTGGTGAGCCCTGACACATTTCAAATCTCCTTAAGGATTTGATGTTGCTCATCAGTGGTGATAATTATACAGGGCGAGTTTTGTTGTTCTTATAACTTTAAATGGAGATGATCAATTTAAAATGTTTGTTTAAAAACTTTGGCAATCCCTGGGGTAATATTACTGTAATCTTGAGTCATCTGTCATTTTTCTTCAATATTTTTATTGGGTTTTGTTTAAGAAATAACAAAAAACTTGAGCAGCTGGATAGTAACTGGATCCTAAGTCAACCAATTCAGACGTACTTTCATACTCGCAGTCGTTAAACATGCACAGACTATGAACCAATGAAATATCAAATTTTAAAATGGTTACATGAATAAATGTCCCACATTTTTACAGATGTCTGCTTTCCAGTTTCAGAAACAAATCATACATCGCTCAATGTGGATGTTAATAACCAGTGAACAAATGATATTTTGTGGATATTTCAGTGCCTCCCAAATAATTTTAGTGAAATGTCATAAAATAGTTTTCTTTTCAACATGTGGATTTTAAATCAGTAAATTCAGTTTATTAAAAAAAAAAAAAAAAGATCTGTTAATGCATTTTTGATTATTTGACTCACTAATGTGAACACAGTGTGAATAAATCACCCATTTATATATTTAAACTGAAAGGTCTGTGTATGTTGAATCTGTGGCTCCTTCATGTACTTAATAACATATTGAGGTAACAACTTTCACTTCCTGTTGTCAGCTGTTCTGAGTCAGGACAGTAAGTGTGTGTGTATGTATGTATCTATATATATATATATATATGTGTGTGTGTGTGTGTGTGTGTGTGTGTGTGTGTATGTGTGTGTGTGTATATGTATATTTATTCCCCCCCCCTTGTTGCTGCAGTTCGTGATCTTTGACCCTGCCAGCCTCTGCCACAAATGAACCGAGTCCTTGAGACAAAACATTTTGCCATATTACCATAAATGATCTGTGCGATCGTCCGAATGTGGCGATCAGAGCCTCCTCTGCCTTTTATCATGGTAAAAGGACCGTATTATCATTTGAATGACCACCTTTAATAATAGAGTGCTGGGCTTTAAAGCTGAGATTGGCTGAGATGCGAGGATTGGTGGATTTACCGGAGGACCTCGTTTTCTCAAAGGTGGATTGTGGGAAGTGAAGGTTGTTCTTTGGTGCGAGGCATGTTTGCTCAGGAAGGATAAGTGGTCCAACTGCATGGTGACGACTTTTTTTTTTTTTTTTTCTTTCCCCAGAGCTTTTTTCTTCTTTGTCAGCAAACATTTCTGAAACACAGAACAGAGGAAGGTGATTACATTTTAGATGCAAGAGCCTCTCAGCAGGTGTGGGAGAGATTTATTTATTTTCTTTCCCTCAGAGGCATCATGGTTTGAACTACAGTATAGTTTTAGTTTTTTTTTTCCCCCTTCTTTTTTTTTTTTTACCCTTCAGGCCAAAAAAAAAAACTAAAAAAAAAAAATCTGGCATGTCTGAAAGTGTAGAAAGTTTGAATAAAAGGCAAAAGCTGCCTGAGGATTCAGTGAAAGGTTTAAAATGTCAGCACTGCCACCTTAGACTGGTCAGATTGGATTTTAAGCTTAGTGCTGCTAAAGAAAAAGGGCAGAGAAAAGCTTTCTGCTTCCATTTCGAAGTCGCTTTTAATTTCTTTTTTCCCCCCTCATCTGGGTGCTTGAGTTGATATCGTGCCAAACGAGCTAATGCTGAATGAACAACAATAAACTAACACCAATGATTAAACTGAGCAGAAAACGAGTCACCAGATTTTATGAGTTATGCCTAATGTGAGTGACTGAAATGTGTTGATTTTTGGATTTTTCCTGTATTTTTATTATTGTAAAGTGAACATAAAGCGAATTTATTATCCAGGTAAGGGATAAAGCCACTAAGAACTCCACTGGTGAGATGTGGATCCTTCTTCATATTTGTGAATAACTTCCATGTGTGCACCAGCATCACACTTAATTAGTTTATATGTAATTACATACATTTAATTACTTTATATGCAACAAGTTTCTTTTTTCAGTCAAACATTGGCCCCATTAACTGATCTTAAGCTCAGAGCTAAGTTGTTGATTAGAATTGTTTACTCGTTGATTTGCAGGGCTGTGCTTCTTGGAAGTGGTACTTCCCGTTCCACTACGCACCGTTCGCCTCTGACTTCAAAGACATCAAAGACATGTTCTCAGACTTTGAGAAGGACACCAAACCAGTAAGAATGGATTTATTTCTCTCCTCCTTATTCTCAATCTTTCTCTCTGTGACTTTTCAGTGAGAAATGTTGTTTTTCCTGCAGTGAAATCTGAAAGTGTGTTGAATCAGTCATGTTCCTTTAAACTAAAGGCTGCTATAGCTTGTTGCTTGTAAAGCCACTGATAGCAGCTCAAGTTATTAAAGAAATTCACTAAAACACCGTAAAAGTTCACCTCAGTTGACCTGTTGGTCTTCCCTAAGTATTAAGCTGGCGTTATGAAACGAAAGTTAAAACATAACACAATGAACAACAGTAGAACAAGGAAAACACATCAACGGTTTAAACTGAGAAAATCTATAATTATACAACCAATACCAGTTCCTTTTGAATTTGATATGTCTTAAAAAAGTTGGGAGATGTAACAAAAGGGTGGAAAAAAAGGAAGTCGTGTTAAGAAAGTGCTGGAATAATTCAATTATCTCATCATCTGCTGAATGTAATATAACGTTCACTCTGGCGGGAACTTTGTGTGGAACAGACAAGGCAAAAAAAAACAAACTTAGATCCAACTTGATCAACTGATCATGTCAAAGCAATGCAAGACACACCAGCGCACAACTGTGAATCATACGACAGCATCGCACACTACAGCGTCCGATCTACAGGGTTTAATCAACAGACATGACTGTTTGGTGGGTGTTTTGTGCAGTTCAAGCCACTGGAGCAGCTGATGGGAGTGTTTCCTGCCGCCAGCGGTAACTTCCTGCCACCAACATGGAGGAACCTCATGAGCAGTCCGGTAAGTTTCAGGCATGAAACGGCTCAGCAGTATTGCTGCTCTCTGATCTTTTTAGTTGTGGTAAGTGTGCCAGTGTCTTTTGAGTTTTACTAAATCACTTCCTTTGATGCAGGATTCCTCGATCATCGACTTTTACCCCGATGACTTTGCCATTGATCTAAACGGCAAGAAATACGCCTGGCAGGGTGAGTCTGTGACATTTAAATAATGTGGACAGAGAGATTTATTACAGCTGGTTTTGTTTAATCTTTATTGTTAATAAATGGAAATATATTTTTAAGCCAACGTTTCATTCGACACACTTTTTTATTTGATATTAACTATGCGGCTCATTTTGGTATGAAGGGCTCAAATTCCCTGTGCAAACAGCAGAAACTTAAAAAATGTTTCAGTGCGGGAATATAGAGGCTTTGACTTCAAAATAAAAGTTTTAAAAAGGAGAAGATATAACTTGAGTACACATTAAAAACAGATTTAGAGAATGTAATACTGTACTATTACATGATTACACTATTTATTACTGTAAGTGCACTTGTTTTATATCATGGTGCTACTTTCATAGGTGTTGCCTTGTTGCCTTTTGTGGATGAACGTCGGCTGAGGGCGGCTTTGGCTGATGTTTACCCCGACCTCACTCCTGAGGAAAGTGAGTAAAAGCCCATTGTATCAAATGTAACATCTGGATTTCTCCTTCGGTGAACTTTACCTTCTGTGATAAAGGTGTTTGATGTAAAACTCACTTTATGTTTGTAATTCTGACATTATCACCATAATGCAGTAACAAACCACTCCAATAGCTGGGGTTGGCTGTAGTGTCAAAATGTTAAAGGGTTGCAGTGCTGCCATCTCTGCTCCTCTCCATGTTTGGATAAAGGGTTAAAGGGTCTAAAGAACTGTGTTATAGTCAGACAGGTGCGTTTTATGTATTTGCATATATATGCAGATATTATTTTTTTCAGTCATCATCCCCACATCGTACAGTTTGCAGTAGAACCCATATTCACCTTTCTTATCATTGTTCTGACATAAATGTGGTCATTTATCTCTTTATTTTTCTGTTTTCTAATCATGGGCTTCTCTCCCGTTTACACTCAGACCTATGTGAGCAGGGTAGCAGTTTGTGAACACTTGTTTTTTCTCTCCTTTCTGACCACACCTGCTTTCTGTGCTCTGTTTCAGAGAGGAGAAACAGCCTGGGAAGTGACGTGTTGTTTCTGGGGAAGTCTCACCCACTCTTTGACTTCATCCATGAACTGTATCGCACAGAATCTAACGAGGTAAGAAACCCGACGCCGTCAGTAAGCATTCACTTCAGTCAAATCAATCAAAACTTTATTTATTTACCTCTTTTCATACAATAAAGATTCAACTCAAAGTGCTGTACACATTAAAAACGGAAAATAAACAAAAATACACACATGCATCTCCTTGACTACACCCCCTCATCACCCCTCCATCCCTGCACCATGACCTATACATGGATATAGACACCCAGACAACATACAGAAACACTGGAGCTAAAAAAAAATAAAGAAATGAAAGCTAAACATAAAGGCGGGTAATGTGAAAGAATAGAGACATAATTATAATAAAAGAGGAAACGTGAACAAATAATGCAGTGAAAATGTGTCAGTAAATAAATGAAAAGTTAAATAAAATAAATTAATAAAAAACCTTAACTTTAACTTCAATTCAAAGGAAACTCTTAGCTCAGTGTTATCGTGACACACACACACACACAACCCTGTTCAGCTATCTTAGTGAGGACCTTCATTGACATAATGGTTTTCCTAGCCCCTTACCCTAACCATTAAAAATGAAAATGAATGCCTAACCCTAAACCTAACCATAACCCAATTGTAACTCTGACACTAAAACCACATTTTGAGCCTCAAAGAGGCCTTTAAACTTGTGAGGACGGGTGAGTGTGTCAGTCACAGGGATCAGATACAGTATATGCGAAGAGGACCATCGAGGAAGAGGAGCAGATAAGTTCAACAGCAATTTCACGGCCCCTAGGACCGTGCAATAAAAACTTCTATGAAAGTCAACTAAATGAAACTTTTTTTTGCAGATTTCGGTCCTCACAAAGATAGCTAGACAGGAACACACACAGAGTCAGCTGGTTTGCGTCTGTAATAACAGTCTTCTTCTTCTGCGACTCAAACTTTGATATGCTGCCGCGTCACTGTGCTGCAGATGTGCGTTGAAGCTGTGCAGGTGTCGCCCGCTTTGAGTTTAGTCTCACTGATTATGCATTTGCAAACCGAAGCAATCGATGCGTAGACTTGCTGGGTAAATACTTCTTAATGAGTGCATCTGAACAGTCAAGCAAGCTTCTGTGTGCTTTGCTTTCAGCGATGAAATGAATTATGATGCGAAGGAAAATTAGTTCATCTAGAGGATTCAGAGTTTCAGAGGCCTTGCAGTCTGACTGAAAGAATAATGCAGGTTTTATTTATCGCTGCGTTCCACGAGAGAAAAGCCTTCACCTCAGACGACCCTCTTCTCCCGCAGTTACATGAACTTGAACTTTTACGTAGCCCGTCTAGACGACAGGTACAGATTTGATAAATAAATAAAACTGTCAGATGAGGATGAGATGAACTACTGAAAAACATTTGACAAAAACCTCCTGTGCAGACATGCAGTTTAAAAGGAAAAATCTTCCCACCTGACCATCACAGTTTTGGCCACAAAAATTCCTTTTTTTGAGGGTCCATTTTAAAATTCCATTATCTATAAAACTACTTGAAGTAGGTCCTTCACATTTTTAGGGTAAATTTCTGGTACTATGGCTTTGAGTGTGAACTCAAGTCAACATAGAATGTGGATATTTGGATGTGTGATCTCTAACGGCAGATTTGGAGACCCGTAGAAAGCAGTTTTTCAGGTAGAGGACTGACGTTTTATTTGCTGCTGCTCATATACAAGGCAGGTGACACTAGTTTAGAATATGTGTAATGTATTCACAGAGTCATAGTACCAGATATTTACCCTCAAGAATTTATTTGGAGCTCAAATATTTTCTAGATGATGGTATTTTAAAACAACTTCTTTAAAAAGATGCTATAGAATTTTTGCTAGCAGGACAAACACAACTTGAAGTAATTGTCTGCGCTTTAGATGTTTTAGTTTTTTTTTTCTTCTTCTTTTATGTCCATGACCTAAGAAGATCAGAGAAAGCATAATAATAGTGTTGATGCATCAAACCATCATTTGTTTGTGGATACAAACTGCAGCTTTGTCTCCATCAGGACACTGAAATCCCTGCAGAGCTGTGCCATGGAATCCAAGGTAGACTAAATCTCGATGACGACCCTATTCTACCAGATAAGTAAGGAACACCGACTTTATTCTCATTTCTCTGCCTCTTGTGCCATGTTGCCACCGCTCTAAGCCAACGGAAGACGAGCTGGGTAAATGTGACATCTGCCTCATGTATTTGTTTGTGGTTATCCTGCAGTACGGTGAGGTCGCCTGTTCCAATGCTGCGAGATATTTCACAGAACACTGCAATCGGGTAAGCCAACACAAACTTTTTTTGTAGCATTGATATTTACTGTACATGTCGGGAAGACTCATTGGATTTAATTTAAAATTCCACCAACAATGACGATGATGTCAAGTATGGCTGGAGGCGAACAAAGAACAGGAAACGCCTTTACAATTGCAGTAAAATGTTCAGATTTGTGTAATTTTTTTTTTACATATTTCTTGGTGAAAGTTCACACATGAGGTGTCTTTAATTATTCATGGTCATGTCGTTTTTTTTTTTTTCCTGTTTAATCCCTTTGTATAAAAATTCCACAACTATACTTATAAAAAGCAAAAACCTTCCCTGATTTGAATTTGGCTGATGTCCGCTTCAGGCTTGTCTGCTTGTGCCCTTCTGGACTGTATCAGACATTCCTGCTGTTTTTATTTTTCTTTCTTTTCTCCACTTCCCTCTCTGAAAGTCCAATTCTGCATCTGCAGTGCATGCCGATCTTTATGGTATCAAAGCCACAACCCTTTAATTAAGTTTTACTGAAAAAAGGGAAGTCATATTGAGACAAATGGAGTAAACATGTGCAGCATAGGAATAGAGCAAATATTTGTCCAGTACAATGCATTGGAATTGGGCATCCCTGATAATCTGATACGTAAAAAGGAAGGTCCTGGTCTCACTGCTGACTTTCTGACCTTATGCATTTCCTTTGGGCTTCAACACCACTGACTCGTCCACTGAAAACTGCCATTTGGAGTCAAAGTTGGAGGCCAGATTCTCATCAGCAGTGGTGAAATCTTTTGGAAACAAGAGTTGATATCTGTTGTCTACAAGTAGCCCAAATTGGATGACCTGAAAAATTTAGATGAGAAAATATTTTATTTTTTAAAAATCTCGGTTTTGAGTTGAATCCCAACTTTAACACAGATGTCGCACAAAAAAACATGACAAACTGTTGCATCCACTTCCAAAAATAAGCTAAAAAAGCTGATTCTGATGGACGTTATGACAGACCATCCCAGATTAGTCTTTTTTTTTTTTTTTCTTATCGCTTTTATTACAAGCTTCACTGACGTCGTCATGTTTCCATTGGTGCTCAAAGCTGTTTGACAGCACATAGTTTTGAGCTGTGTACGCACCATCCCCCTTTCATTACTGTAATATGAGCCATTCTTCAAGGATGAAAAGACATTTGGGCACGTGTTGAAAATGACTGAGCAAAGTAGGCGAGGGAGGTTAAGAAGAAAATGACAACATTTGAACCATCATGGTCTCAGGATCTCTGTGTTGAGGCGCAGATTTATTTTGCTTCTCTGAAATTCTTGCTTTAAAGTATGAGCTAATGGAACTCTTGTTGTGGTCAGTTGCAAATGATTTTCATTTTCTTTCCAGAGTGAAGTTCAAGGATCCCCAGTATCCAGATGGCTTTGTGTTCAAGGCGGTCCTCCTGCCTGGAGCAAAGTGAGGATTTTTCTGCATTTATCTCATGAATTCCTGGTTGAACATTAAAGGCTTTATTCATTTCAGGTGCAGAAATAGTTTTTTCGTTTGCCCTTGTAATTCCTAAAGAATACAGCAGTTACATTCATATATTTTTCTTATTGTAACAATTCCATGAAAAGACCAAGTACGCGTTGATTCATTTCTCAATAGGTTGTGAATGTCTGATTTGTCTCAGGCTCTCAGCATCCTTTAGGTCCGTTTGTTCCTAGAAATTATATAAATCGTTACAACATGTTGTGGCTCTGTTTGCAGAAAGGCAGTTAGTTCTATTGGAGTCTATGGAAAAAAAGATTTCAGAGCACCGTTAATATATAACCGTAAAAAAAACTTCCAAGTTGGGTTTATGATGTGAATCCCCAGTTTCAAGGCTTATTCAGTACAGAATTGGCCTAGTCAGTGTCTTCATATTAAAGGAAGCTCCTGGAAGAAAGCGGGCAGATGTTAACACTGCAGAAAACGATGGAGAAAAGACACAATGATGTTGCAGGACTCGACTGTGCAAGTGCTTTGAGACCTTTGACACTGGGCACCGGAGCTGATCTTGCTCAATCAGCATATACCAGAGTGATGCAGGAAGTCAGAGTCAGGAAGAACACAGAGGCTGTTTTAAAAAGTAAAAAAAAAAAAAAACCTTTGCAGACTAAATCCTCCACTTCTGAAGTTCTCCGGCATGACTTGAAACTGTGAAAATGAGAGAGCAACACTGTCACAGACACAGATTCATCCACTTTTGTCAACAAGAGCAGTAAAAAAAGTGTATTTTCAGCTGTGACAGAGGCGGTAAACTCAGGTGGAGTAAAGGAGAAAAAAATGGGTTTTTTTGTTTCTGAAAAATACAGAACTGCACTAAGATCACAATCACAAAGTTTGTGGGTAAAAATACGAGACCTTCATCAAATACGAGTCTTCCATCAAATACGAGTCCTCCTACAATTCACTGGCAGCATTTCAGTGGTGTTGAGACCTGGATTTTTTTTTCTTTTTCTAAAAAGGCGTCACTGATAGATTTGAGGGTTTCAGGTAAAAACGATGGCACCCTTCCCTCTCTCATATATGTCAATAAAAGGAAACCTTTTTCACATCATAATACTGTCTTTCAGGATTCCCAGTAAGGTTCTGAAACCCGAGGACTGGGTGAGAGGCAATGGGCAATCTTGGAGGCCTCAGCTGGGTTTCAACCCAAACAGGCAGCAGGCTCACCTGGACCAGTCTGGCTTCAGGGCTCTGGGGTATGTTCATATTTACATTTTTAATATAATCAATGTTAAAACCAGTAAAAAAAAAAAAAAAAAAAGTAGAACATTCCTATTTTCCTGAATTTCGAGTGAAAATGGTTCAGACTCTTTCCATTCTCGCATTCACCTCAGTCAGGCAAATCAGGACTGCTGTTGGGTCGTTTGTTCACACTTCCTAACAGGTTAGTCCAGAAATCGGTAGGTGTGAGGACAACAGTTGTACAGTGCTGCATTCCTTATTCATATATGATGAGAATCTCAGTCAGGATAATGGAGGCCCTCTACACTCCAAGGATACATCTCCCCAGACCACAGACCCACTGCCAAACTGGTCATGCTGGGGGATGTTGCGGGTGGTATAATGTTCACAATGGCATCTCCCGGCTTTTTCACACGTGTTACGTGTGTTCATTGTGAACTTGCTCTCATTTACAAAGAGAATGGGGCAGTAGTGGTGGACCTGTCCGTTATGCTACCCTCAGGGAGTCTGTTCCTGGCCGCCGTGTTGCAGGGCTCTTCCTGTTCCTCCGTACAGAGACGAGCAAGATATAGTCCCGCTCTCCTGATATTTCCTTCCCACTTTTGAGACTGTGCTGAGAGACACAGCAAACCTGGAGCTGGACTGTCTGTGCGACCTGAATGAGCCTGAATTCTCCCAGCACTGATGAGGACATTAGCAAAAAGCAAATTGGAGAAAAATGGGTCAGGAGAAATGAGGAGAGAGCAATGGTTTAGCTGGAGTTACAGGTTTTGTATTATACTGTGATGACAGGGGTTTTTGTTTTGTTTTTTTACAAGCAGTGCATAACCATATCTCTGTTACAGAGTATTTTTCCATGCTTTTATTTTGAACAGCAAACAGTGATGCCTTTTTAATATAACTTTGCATCCTGAAACTTTTTTTCATGGGTCATCGGTGGTTTGATCAACTTCGGTAAATACACCTGTCTCTGAAGCTCCTCGCTCTGTGTGATGAGATCATTTTAAAGCATCCAAGTCTGTCTGCCGTGACTCAGTACAGTAGTTTTAAGTATTTTTAAAAACAAAGATGTATTTAAATGTTTACTGCCTCCCCCCCACAGTGGCCCCCATTAACCAGCCATCCTTGATTATGATCTAAGCTCGCTTCTCCACACATTGATATTATCATTAAGGAAATGTGAATAATTGAACATCTGGCACGGCCCGACTGTGGGAATTAATTATGCACAGATTTGAAGAAACATAATATATTCCTTTTCCCCCCCCTTTTTCCCCCCCTGCTAAAGTAAGTCGTTAATTCAGTGATTCGGGCCGTTATGTGCCTTGATGGCACCACACGGGCAGGTGCTCACAGGATGGCGAGCAGGAAAACCTGAAGGAAATGAATTTTTTTTATTGCTTTGATTTTTAAATTGTGCAGTTATGGGTGTGTGTGTTCAGTTTAGGAAGAGGCCAGAGGTCATATGACATTTCTGGTAGGACACAGGCTCTTGTGTGGAAAAAGGCCGGGCAGAATAGCTCACTGAATCATTTAACCCTCATGTGTTAAGTGCTTTGGTTTGGTTTGTTTTTTGCCTTTTTGTGGATGTGCAGGGAGTAAAGATAATTTTACCACCATGAGACGACATTGTCCATCCAGCTATCAACCAGTCAATCAATCAGTCAATCCTGCTTTTAATGCCTTTCATGCTTCCTTGTGTTTTCCTTTTTCCTGTGATCCTGAAATTGTTCCCCCTGCAACATTGGGGATGATTCCTGAATCATTTTCAGGGTTTTAAGGTATCAGCTTATTACAGTATGAAGTGATGGCATGTGCCTGATTCTACATTGCCTTATTGATTAATTGATCAGTCAACTCATTTTCTTTTTTAAACAGTTAAAGGAACAGTAGGTTTGCAAAATACAACAACAACCTCACCAAATGCCACAACTGTCACACTGACTCATCAAAACTGGACAACAGAAAACTTGGGGGGGGGGAAGTTGCCTGGTCTGATGAGTCTCGATTTCTCCTGCCACATTCAGATAGGGACATCAGAATTTGGCATAAACAGCATGAAAGCATGGGTCCATCCTGCCTGGTATCAACAGGGCAGACTGCTGCTGGTGTAATGGTGTGAGGAATTTATTGGTACAGCAAAGCCGGGCCCCTTAGTACAAAAGCATTTAAATGCCCAGCCTGAATCTGTGTTGTTGCTCAGCATGTTCATCCCTTTATGACCAGATGAATGAATCGGTCACCAGATCTCAGGTCGATAGAGCACCTTTGGGATGCATTGGAACAGCAGATTGATATCATGGATGTGCAGCCGACAGATGTTCAGTAACTGTTCGATGCTGTCATTTTAATACGGACCAAAACCTCTGAGCAACGTTTTCGGCACCTTGTTGAATCTGTGCCACAAAGAACTAAGATGGTTCTGACAGCAAAAGGGGATCCAACCTGGTACTATGAAAAGTGTGCCCAGGTAGGGTGGAAAGTTTAAAAGTAATTCAATGTTACTCTGGCATTTGCTCTTCTCTTCTATCTTCTATCCTGCATTTAAATAAAAAAACAGTGTTATCAAACATAATTGATGAGTAATGCTAAGACTAAAAAGCTGAAACCAGCAATCTTCTTCCTTTGTTTTATATTCAGCATATTCAGACCATTTTTACCCACTTCAGTCTCCAGACACTGCCCAGACATTAGGGTTAATACCGGGTGTGTGTAAAGGTTACAATGGAACTTTCTTTATTTCTAAATTAGTTTTTAACATCATAGCTTCTTCTTCTCTCTTCAGCCACAATCTGAACAGAAGCCAACAAGGTGGAGGACAATACAGCAGCACTCCACCGCCAAGCAGCTACAACCAAGGAGGCTACCGACCTTCACACAGCGGTGGCCACCAGTCTTTTCAACGTAAGACACACACACAAACACACACTGATGTAATGCAAGGCCTTATTTTTGCCCTACTCAGTGTTTAACCGAACATTTTTCTTTGTTCAGAAACCAGTAAAGATTTTTTTAGTGGTCTTTAACAATAAAAAAAGGATCCACAATGAATTTTACAGAAACAAGGGTTGGCGCATTAGCAACCCCACCAGCAAACATCCATTTAACTTTGTCTCACAGTTTTTGTCAAAGCCTCACAAGTTTGAAAACCGCAGCCCTAACCTTAAGCCCCCTGAATCATCTTTAAAGCCCCCTCGAATGGCCACTATCTTAAAAAAATATATATATCCTCAATATGAAGATGGAACATTTCTGGTTCATAAATAGTTCACAAAATTCAGTTTGATTCAGAATGATGTATTTAAGGCTGTTTGCATCAATATAAAAGCAAATAAAATTATAGATGAACGTTTAATTAAAATTTATTCCATACCGGGGAGCCAGAAAGACTCATTTTACAATTTAACAATCCAAGGCCTCAAAAAAGCAACTGTGTAGGCAGACGAAAGAGCCAGTCCTGCAGTAAGAGTCCTCTTTTAAGTAAAACACAGTGTGAGATGCATTACACTCAAGACTCTAACGTGTTCATGGATTGGGGACATGCTGTTTCATAGTCCAGCACTTCTGCTTCGTCCTGTCCTATCCTGTTACCATTAATTTGATCTTCTTAAAAAAATAATAATTACAATATTTTAGACTTAGAAATAAAGACAAAAATTTTCATGGCACTTTTTTTCTTTATTAAAATTCTCGACAAATCCAAAGCATCCTGGAAAGTTTGGTCAAATGTGACTTTACCAAAGGAATAAAGTGATTTTAGTAATTTAAAAGTGACCTTTGAGCATTTTAAAAATTTCAGTCTTTATTTTCATTTTTTAGATTAATTTTAGATTTTGGACTCATTCTGATTAAGAAAGTGCAAATATTTTTCAAATGTAGTTTTTTAAAAACGTTTCTTTATCCCTTCTCTACACAAATAAACAACAGTTTTCTAATCTAAAAATTAAAAGTATGTACATCTGAGTTTACCACACTGAGAGTAAATCTGACAACACACTCAGATCAAAGTTTGGTCAAAAGTAAGTGGACCTCATCAAACTGCTGCTGTAAGGTCACTGATGAGCGTTTGAAATTGGGTGAATTGTTGAGTTTGCTGCTGTAACCTTGAGCTCAAAAAATCGATTGAGATGTTTTGCTTTAATGCACCCCCCACCAACAGTACCTGCTCCATTAAATTCAGTAAAAACTTTCTTTTGGCGTTCCTCTCTGGAATGCTCTCTTTTTCTTTGCACATTCCGACGGCCTTGCTTTTCATGACAGAGCGTAAAGCTTTCATCACGAGGCTTTGACATTCACCTGTTATTCTAAACATTTTTATCCCTTTAGCAGAGACGAAGAAAAGCTAAAATATTCAGCAAAAGGTAAAATGCCTCTTCAGGTGGATTTCAAAGAACTGTAGTCATGTTAAAAAGGAAGTGTGACCTCTTTAAGTTGTAAGATTTGTTAAATTTGTTAAATTAAATGTTAGATCTGTTAAATATATCATACGTCTCATCTGTAGACCTTAGATGAACAACAGCACATGACAGAAGCAGTGTGTTTGAATCTTAGCAGAGTGATCTGAACAAAAAACAAGACTTGTGGTCTGTCCTTTGGCCTGCAAATACCTCACAGCAGCTGTCAGCACAGAGGTGTTGATTCGGGCACCTTGCAGTCATTGAGGCGACTTTGAACTCCTCTGTATACCAAAGTATTTTAGAGTCAAATGTGAGGCCATCTGCCTGCCAGCTGAAGCTTGGTCAGAACTAGGTCGAGCACTAAGTGTTTCTACAAGCTGCTTAATCATGGGGTGGAATTCGTCTTTCACAGACTGCTTCTGCATTTTGGTTTAGTTGTTAAGTGAAAAACAGTGTTAATCTGATGATGTATTGATGATCTTTGTTATGAATTTTGATACATTAAACCATAGAAGTGGAAGAAGTTGTACTTTGTTTTTCCCATTATTATCCATTTTATGCCAGGCACGATTATCGGCTGTGATATTTTCTAGGTCAGCTGGTGGTTGGTTCTTTCTTTGGTTTTGAGCCTTCTTTAAGTAACTTTTTCTTCTTCAAGTAACGTCTCTGACTATCTTTGATTGCCATCATTATAAATGGTTGTCCCTCAAAGTGGATTAAATGTGTGTATGAAGCCATTTAGAATTTCTTTTTTCAACTGGCAGAAGAAGGCGGCGACTGCTGCAGTGAACCATTCATGTTAGGGCTGCTCGATTATGGCAAAAATGATAATCACGATTATTTTCACTGAAATTGAGATCACGATTATTTGACGATATTAACCAAGTCCACCAGAGCTTATATTATTTTTTTACATGCTGTAGTGCCATTTGTGGGAGCATTTCAAGTTGCTATACATCAATACAACTGTTATAGCCCATATTTTAATAATATGTCTGCATTAAGTCCATAGTAATTACATAAATTGCAAAAAAGTGCAATAAACTACAAAAAAATTGAAAATCGCTTTTGTTTTGTTTACATATATTTCTACTTGGAGAAATTTAAGAGGCTTATCCCTCAAAACTTTAAATACAATAAAGTTGCAAAAAATAGTTTCCCACCACAGGAAATTTATTTTGAGTGTCTTCATAGTTTTATTTTGGAGATACAGCAATTTTTATATACTGCAGGAAAAACAAAAAACAATCCTATGATGCAAATTTGCAAAGAAAACAGCATGTGCATCATTTCACTGTGGGAAGTGTTACGAACAGCTGATAGGAACGGCAAAGCGTGTTTCTGGAATATTATGTTTTTGTTCCTGCAAGCGCTTTTTATGCAATTTTTGCAAAGCTATATGTGGAACGAAACCGTGACCGAGGACAAGCTGATGGCATCAGATGTAAGTACAACTCCTCCGGTTTCATATGCAAAACAAATTATTGCGCTAGCTTACACGGTTCAGGTTCTACAGGGATTTAAAAATAGTTACGCAAAACGGAGCGTGCTGCTCTGACCGGCTTTAAAGGGTTAACAATGACTTTAAAAAAATAATATAAAATGGTGTGCAACACCACTGAAGTTTGTTTTTTTTTTTTAAACTCTCTTTTCAATCAACGGCAGTCACTCTCCAAATAACTTCTGCTTAGCTTTCCGAGCTTCCCTCGGGTCCTCTTAATCAGCGGTCTCCAACCTTTTTTGCGCCACGGACGGTTTATGCCCGACAATATTTTCATGGACCGGCCTTTAAGGTGTCGCGGATAAATTAGGGAGGGGCTAATAATCGGCTCAGTCATTTTTAATGATCGTTGAAAGCCCAGATCGTAATCGTGATTAAAATTCGATTAATTGAGCAGCCCTAATTCATGTCACGATTATTTAAGCAATTTATTGGTTATTTGTACCAAATGGCACAAAAAGGAGGAAGATGCATCTTTTCTAGGTTGTTTTTGAGCGAATCAGCTGTGAATAAAAAAAGTAATTGATCTTAAAAATGACGTCTTAATTTTCCACCGATGGACTGATGTAGTTACTGACTAATCAGGTCACATCTGGAACGGACACCGTTGCCATTTCACTCTGAGGAAATTGGGCGCTGCAGCTGCCAAACGGAGACACAAATAATTGTGTTATATGATTATGTTCATCACATGCAGTTGAACAGCTCGTCACATATGGAGGCAGAATCCGTCTCCCAGCTCCTAATCACGGTCTGTGCTCGGCCTCGGCCCTGGCCCCGCGGTCCTCTGCCAGCTCTCCTCCAGTTTGACTTTGATGTGCCAATTTGCAAGTAGATGAATAATCTCATCTGCCCACTGATGGCGTGCGGGGGAGTCTCGGCTATTCTGGTGGCACTTGATGCAAATGGGGGGCTTTTGGCTCCTCCGGATTGCGGCAGCACCTCCCTTGGCCTCTGCTGCTCGTTCTTAGTGTTAAACTTGCCAATTAGCAGCCCGGGATGTTCACCACCCCCAGCTCTATATTTGTCCTATCATTCACAGAGAAATTATTTTAATAAAAGGGAATCATTTTAAATCCTGCTCGTCCGGTTCTGGTGACACAGGATGATTTTTATTGTATCAGCTTGAAGTACCTGAAATAGAAATGTGTCATTGACAAAGGTAGCATTTATATTTTATTCGATTTTCTTTTTCCTCCTGAAGTTTTAAAGCTTTTCTGTGCTCAGTTTTGATTTAATGCGGGTGTGTTAATCTCGGTTTCACTAAAGACCAATCTGCAAATGTACTGCTCATTTAAAAAAAAAAAAAAGGTGAAAAAAAGTTAATGGCACACTCGATCATGGTATCACACAGAGTCAGCTAAACTTCAGGGGGGTATCGATATGTCACGTTATGAAACGCAAACCATTGTGAATTTATTTCACCTTCTTTGGCTCCATTGCAGTGAAATTCTGTGTCCTGCTCACTGCTGGTGGTGTGACACGGTATCTGCAGCCCAAGCAGGTTGCACAGGGACTCCAGCTTCTCCAGGATGGGGGTGCATCCTTAAATGCTATTTGTGAAGGTTTGCTGTGTCTGTCAGCACAGCCTCAAGAATGTGAGGAGATACTAGGAAAGTGGGCATTACATGATGAGAGCTGGACAGGGCTGTAGGAGAGCATCAACCCAGCAGGAGGACCAATAATCTGCTCCTTTGTGGAAGGAGGAGCAGAGGAACACTGTCAGAGCTCTACAAAATGACTTCCAGCATGTTTCTGACAAAACTGTCAGAGTCAGACTCCTTGAGTGAGGCACCAGGGCCTCACATCCTTTAGTGGGACCGACACCCGGAGCCCAGCACCGTGGAGCTCAATTGGCATTTGCTCAAGAACACCAGAACAGGCAGATCCACCGATGGCGCCTAGAGCCAGTTCACACCAAGCACATGTCACAAATGCCACACTGTCTGCAGATGTTTTGATATCTGTGGTAATGCGTCAGATTGACCCCGTCCCTGACCGCAGAG